CGCGCCCACGTGCCTGGCCCATCTCGGCTCGCTGAAACCCGAACTCGGCATCGTTGTTGGTTGTTTGCTCTGAGGAACTCAAGATGCCGCCTTTGTTGTTGATAAGGTTGTTAGAGGCGCTGGTGGGTTGTGGGTTTGGTGATGGGTCGGGTTCGGTTGAGGGGGAGAAGGTGATTGGCGATGAAGATGATGGGGAGATTGATGATGAAGCGGTGGAGCTCTCCATTATTTTTGGGTTTAGATTTGGTTGGGTTCGAAGAGAGAATGGAGATTAGGGGAAGTTCAAAGAGAGAGAGAGAGAGAGAGAGACAGAGAGAGACATAAAGGGGTAGTTTGGACATCGTGGTATCGTGAGAAGTTTGGGAAATGGGCGTGGTATCCTAGGAAGTTTGGGAAATAGGTGGAGTTTTATATCCACTTATTTTTGAAAGTTACTGTTCATTAGATGTTTTTTTGTTGTTCTCTTTAGTAATAAAGAAGTAGATTGTGTCTAGAGTCGGGGGAGAAAAAAAGCCTCGAAACCCAATGAAAATACAAACTCTAGGGTTTGGGGAAAACGTTAAGGGAGAATTATTGGATTTTGAGTTGAATTTAAAATTTATATTTAATGGGAAAAATGCCATAAAACAGAGTGCACAAAAGATAGAATTTTCGAGTCGAGAGGGTATGATCTACCAGTTTTCAGGCAAAGGCTACTAGTTCGGATCGAACACAAATTCCAAACCCATAACTTCGAATTTTCCGCTTAGAACTGGACTTTTGGCTTAATAATTAGGCTCATGGAATTTTGATCATAATTTGCTCAAGGCTTTGGGCCCTTGGAATGACCAAATCCAAAAGCCCAATCCCTAGTGTTAAGGCTTAAGAGGATTGCATGTGGGCTTGGTTGAGGCTACTCCAATGGTGATTACGTCCCTCTAGTCTTAGGGGTTGTTTGCCAAGTCACTGAAATTGGGCCAAGTTTAAACATGGTCCGATTTCATCTTGTTATTTTGGCAACTTTTGGTCCAAATCTGACCTAGTTTTTTTTAGTTTACTTTTTAGCCTTAAAATCATGCCGGAGTTGAACCACCCCCTACCTGGTCCAACTCTAGCCTGGTTAAGAGAGCACCCTTCCCATTTGGGCCTTATTTTTGTTGCCCTTATGTGTCTTACTAGTGCCCTTAAGGTCATTTTACCTAATATACAAAGTATTTGAGTTTTATCCAATATGACATAAGTATTATTGTGACAAAGACTCGTCGCTATACGGAGATTCAATGATGAACTACATGTTGGAAGGAGCTTTTCTATTACTTTAGTGATTAGTTTAGGGGTCATTTTCTGAAATGTATATATACATGCATTTTCCCCTTCCCTGATTTTGTTTGTTCAGTCCTTAAACATTTCATCTAAAATGTATATTTAGAAATATCAATTTTTAACCCTTTAAACGGTGGTCTGGATGCCCTGTCACGTGTTTTGATGCAAATAGCATTGTTTTGGGCTTTCAGGGCAACATGCTTTCGCTCCTGATGACCAAATTGAAACCCCATAATACTATAGTACACGGGAATACTGTAGAATTTTTAAAAACTGTAACAGAGGAGGGAACTGTAGCGATTCAAAAGTTAATGTAGCACTAGTGTGCAGCCCGTGCGCAGCACGGTGTTTTTTTTTTTTGCTACAGTGTTCCCGCCGTTTTTAAACTATCCCGGTTTGAATTTTCTGGGGTGCTACAGTAACTCGCCTGCTACAGTGCAATTCCCGAGCTGCTACAGTAACCGATCTGCTACAGTGGCTTTTAAATGTCTCAGCTACTACAGTAATACTGCTACAGTAAATCTACTGTAGCATATACTGTAGCATGAACAGTGACTCTTTGTTTCTCCCATTTGTATAAAAGAATAGATTAAAATCGGGATAACTGTAGCAAGAAAAAATTAAATGTCGTGCTTTGCACGGTGTTCAGGACTAGTAAGAGAATGAAACTAAAACCGGCCTAAACCTGTGCTCTCCCCTTTGGGCCTGGAAAAATATCCGACCCGAACCCCACATCCGGATCCGAAATTCAAAATGCATCCTATTTCGAGACCTGCGTAAGCTCTACGCCACGCGCCCCCGTCCAATATATTAGTAACTCATCTCGGCCATCCATTTAATAAACTAAACCCGTTTAAACCCCGACCCGCTTTCTAAATCCGCGTCGGTCGAACGCTACGCTGTCATCCCCCGTCTTTTAAATAAGCTTCCCTCCCCCTCTCTATTTCAGCCGAGAGAAAGAAGAAAATTCCAGAGAGAGAAGAGAGAGAGAGATATATATATGGAAGCAACCATATTAAGGCCAAATATTCGGTAATTTATTCCCTCCTTTTCTGTTTTCTTTAGAGTTTTGGTTGAAATTTTAGGTTTTAAGCAATACATTTGCTCCTATTCTTCAATATCTTCTCTAATTTGTAGCGATTTTGTTCCTTCTATGTGTACACGTCTGAGTTCACAGAGAAAAGTGCGCTTTCTGAGTTCGTGAAGCGGAAATTGTGAACCCTAACAAGTCTTTGAGGTATGATTCATCCCTTTCGTTGAAATTTCTTGGGTTTTTAATCTCTGGATATTGCCTAATTTGTTGCGATTTTGTAACTTTTTGTTCCTAGAGCGCCGAGTTTACAGAAATAAATGGTGTTTTTGGATCGGTGCGGCGGGAAATGTGAAACTTAACAAGTCTTATGAGGTATGATTTATTCTGTCCGAAACTTTTTTGGTCCCTCTTTTTGGAAATGTTTTGGATTTTTAGTAATTGTGGCACCTAAGAGAAGGTTTGTCAACTTGAGTGTTTAATTTACGTTGTTGAGCTTAGGAAAATATCAAATTGAAAAGGGTTGTGAATTGATTGAGGTCGAAGACTGGAACAAGTATGGCTGGTTGAATTTTGTGGCATCTATTTTTAGTGCTGAAAGCAGAAATTTTGCCTTGTTATTTCGATGAAATCCAGTAATACATGTAAGCACTCAGTGTTTCTTAATAATTTTTTTTATTTTCTTGGTTTTGTGGGCTATGATAAACATTTATCTGAAGCAAGATTCTGTAAGCATATTTTATTTTTTGGATTTTCTTTAGTCAAATCATTCAGGAACAGAATAACATTTTGAATTTTCTTAGATATGCAATATGCGAGCCTAATTCTGATATTTTATTGTTTGTTCATTATCTGCAAAGAACACTGTATGATAGCTAAGAGGTTACATTCTAGAAATAGAAATCCTAATGTACATCCGTGAACTCCATCTAGAAGATTTGTGAGGCATGCACATGGTTTGCATGTAGTGTTTGTGTGTGCCAAAAGATAATTTATTAGTTGAGATACTGAGCTGTATGTTACCTTTGTGAGACACATCAATTCTATTGTGTATGTCACCTTGTTGCAGTAAACTGATGTTTTCTTCCTTATTTTTGATGCAGGTGCAGCATGAACCTAGTGATTCTGTCTCTAGCATTGGTTTCAGTCCAAGGTAAATTACTTGGTGGCCACAATTTGGGATAATCGGGTTTTTCGTGCTAAGAGCTCTTAACTCTATGGGTCATGTTATGACTTTGATAATGTATATATCCAGCCTGGATGTTATGATAGCTCTTATGATTCTTCTTTGAATGATGTGCAGGTTAGATGCTGGGATGTCATGATAGCAGTCAGGCGAAAAGAGTCCTTATATCCATGAGCAACTGGTCATGTATATGCTTTCGATGCATCTGATGTTTAGAATTGTTTCAAAATCTTTCGTGGAAATCTGGGAAAAGGATTACTGCTAACAATTTTATTTCATATTCCTTAGATTCTGTGCTCTACATTGAAGGATGATGATTCCACAATGTTTACTAGAGGATGTGATAAGATTGAGAAACTGTGGCCCTTGACGTCTGGCGGCCAACTGATACAAGATGTAGTGCATGATGCAGGATGATGATTCCACAATGTTTACTAGAGGATGTGATAAGATTGAGAAACTGTGGCCCTTGATGTCTGGCGGCCAACTGATACAAGATGTAGTGCACGATGCAGGATGATGATTCCACAATGTTTACTAGAGGATGTGATAAGATTGAGAAACTGTGGCCCTTGATGTCTGGCGGCCAACTGATACAAGATGTAGTGCCATATCTCCTGACCAACCGGTATGTGTATGCTTTGCATGTAGCTGATGTCTAGAATTGTTTCAACACCTGTCATGAGAAATTGGAATAATGATTGTTGCTAATGTTTCATTTGGTAATTCTTAGGTTCCATGCTCTACTTGGAGGGATGATGGTTTTTCCACAATGTTTGCTGGAGGATGTGATAAATAAAATTTTAAAAATGGAGCCCTTAATTTCTGTTTAGCAACCTACATAAGTTGCTGCACATGATGCACCTGTCTAATAAATTGCTTGGATTGAACAGTTGAATTGCCTAGTTACAGGGAGCTGGGGTAAGACATTGAGGCAAGAGCAGATTGAGTTACTTGATTAAGTTTTTCATAAACCACAGTGATTTAGTTATTATCTAATAAATGTGTGTGTTTTTTCTTTTTTGCTTAAGTAACTCCGTTTATATATATGCATAGTGCTTTATAATATTTTGGATCAAAGA